TGGTTTATTGGAGATAAGAGTCTCACAGACTTTCCTGCCCAGGCTGGCTTTGAACCTCGATCCTCAGATCTCAGCCTCCTGAATAGCTAGGATTACAGGTGTGAGCCACTGGGCACCTGGCCTTTTCCTAGATTTTTTAAATTAGTAGTTTAGTGGGAGAAAAGAGACTTATGGACAACTTTCCTGCTAGGGCTGGCTTTGAACCTTGATCCTCAAATCTCAGCCTCCTGAGTAGCTAGAATTACAGGTGTGGGCCACTGGCACCCAGCTCCCTAATTATTCTTATTGATCTTTTTTAAAAAAATAATTAACATTCTGCCTACAGATAACATATTGACAAAGTAAGTCTTGTTCTTTTTTTTTTTTTTTTGGTCGGTCCTGGGCCTGAATTCTGGGCCTGGGCACTGTCCCTCAGCTCTTCAGCTCAAGGCTAGCGCTCTACCACTTGAGCCACAGCGCCACTCCCAGCTTTTTCTGCTTATGTGGTGCCGAGGAATCGAACCCAGGGCCTCATGCATGCAGGGCAAGCACTCTACCACTGAGCCACCTTCCCAGCCCATAAGTCTTGTTCTTGTTACTGTCTAATATAAGCATCATCTGAGATAAAATAGGATTTAAAGAGATATAGCACAAATAAGATGATGATGGGAATTGTGTGTGTGTGTGTGTGTGTGTGTGTGTGTGTGTGTGTGTAAGTGAACAACAGTTAAGCAGGGCCAAATGAATGTTTACCTAGCTCCAAATACTTGGAACAGGGTATTCTTAAGGGAGGATTTCACTGCACTAAACGATGAGGTTTTCTACCCTACCATCAAAGTCTCTCTCAGGGACATAAATAATCTTCCTTCTTAGGTCACGGAGGGACCTCTAAGTGCTTAGCTCTTGCAAAATTTTGAAAAAAAAAGAAAGAGTGGGTATTAAAGGTAGTCATCATGCCTGCCACATTACTCTAGAAAACAGTATTTACTTTTTAGACTACCCTTAGTTGCATTCCTCATTAAACTGGGTTATGCTGAAACATTGGCATGGTACAGTTTATGCAATAAATCTTAATGTACTTTATTCACTCAGTAGCTATTTATTAAGTATCCTTTAGGTGTTTGCCCCTGGAATTCTTTCTGTAGGCACAAAACACAAGGTCACTTCCCTCATGGAGTTTAGAGTAGAAGAGGGTGGTGAAAGTTGTAGATCCTAAGTAAGCAAAAGTGAACAGGTAGTGATAAATACTGTGAAGCCAGCAGAAGAGTGTGGTAAAATATGATAGAGGTGAGATTGTTTATTTATTTACATATTTATTTTTGTGCTACCACTATGCCTTGAACTCAGGTCCTGGGCATTGTCTTTTTTTTTTTTTTGTGTTGGTCAGTTGTGGGGCTAGGCTTGAACTCTGGGCCTGGGTGCTGTCCCTCAGCTCTTCAGCTCAAGGCTAGGGCTCTACCACTTGAGCCACAGCGCCACTCCCAGTTTTCTGGTGGTTTATTAGAGATAAGTGTCTCATGGACTTTCCTACCAAGGCTGGCTTTGAACTGTGATCCTCAGATCTCAGCCTCCTGAGTAGCTAGGATTACAGGTGTGAGCCTTGGCACCTGGCTTTATTTTATTTTTTAACTCAAGGCTGGCACTCTACCACTTGAGCCATATCTCCCCTTTTAGCTTTTTGTTACTTAATTGGAGATAAGAGTTTCATTGAATTTTCTGCCCAGAATTTTCTGGCTTCAAACCTTTGTCCTCAGATCTCAACCTCCTGAGTATGTAGGATTACAGGATTAAGCACCAGTGCCCAGAAGGGGCAGTTTTAGATGAAATTTCCTTGAAGAATCAAGACATAAACTAATACAAAGTTATTAAACAACACATGGATGCAATGAGCATTAATTGAGTAGATCTGAGATTTTCCTACTATACACATGAAGGATGAATTTTTATTTAAATCAAATTTCTACCAAAAAACCCCTATATCAGCTAAGCACAAGTTCTTTTTTTTTTTGGGGGGGGGTCCGGTCATGGAGCCTGAACTCTGAACTCTGGGCCTGGACACTGTCCCTCAGCTCAAGGCTAGCGCTCTACCACTTAAGCCACAGCGCCACTTCCCGCTTTTTTTCTTTTTGCTTATGTGCTGCTGAGGAATCGAACCCAGGGCCTCATGCTTGCAAGGCAAGCGCTCTACCACTGAGCCACCTTCCCAGCCCTAAGCACAAGTTCTTGAATACTAAAGATTAGATTCTCTGCAATAGTAGGTTCATTTTGAAGCCCATATAGATCTTAGTACGTGTGCCTTCAGAGTGAAACAATTTCAGTATAGCTCTTGCTTAATCCCTATGCTAGTTACTTCTGGGAAATGGAATATCTGAGTAATCTCATTCAACTTTTCAAGCATAATGATACAAGGACACTGGCAAGGAGAATTCTGTTAAAAATGAACACACTAATTGATCTTTGAAAAAAATAGTTTGATAATTATAATCTATGATTTTGTAAAGTCATATGTGTGTGGAAAAAGGACGTTGACATCTGCTTGGAGTAAAGGAAATAGTTCCAGTGGGTGGAACACATTTATTCATTTGGTGTTTATAACAAAAATACCAATTACTCATATTGTGATGTGCATTTACATCATAGAGGCGTGCAAGATTTCATCTCTGATATATAAGAAAATCAACCAAGAATCCAACTAAACTTTAAGTGTAACTTTTTTTTTTGACAATTAAACTTGATTCTCATTGTAACAGAATCATATCTGTAATTAGAACCAAGTTTAGCATCTCTTGAAATTTGGAAGAGTTGACATTTTTAAGAAAATAATCAAGCATATGTGAGAGGATGTCACCAAGATAGTTTCACATGAAAATGTGATATTAATTTAAGAACCAAAGAACTTAAAAAAAATGGCATCAGGCATGAGTAATACAGAGTAGAATCTGGACCTAGACAGGAAATTTAGCTTCAGGAAATAAAGCATAAATTAGGAGTAGGAGGATCCAGACACTTTCTTGTGTTTTAGAGAAATGATCTCTAGCTCCCTTCTGGTCCAATATATCTGGTACAAAGCACCTAAGATTCAGTATTCACCCAATATTCAGTATCACACACACATATATATGTCTAAACATATGTAGACAAATGTATAAATAACGTGTATATAAACAAATACATCCAAATATATACATATATGCACAAAAATATACACACAAATATAATAAAATTCACCCATTGTAAAGTGTACAGTGTACAGTCCAGGGCTGGGAAGGTGGCTCAGTGGTAGAGCACTTGCCTTGCATGCTCAAGGCCCTGGGTTCGATTCCTCAGCACCACATAAGCAAAAAGAAAATAGCCAGAAGTGGCACTGTGGCTTAAGTGGTAGAGCGCTAGCCTTGAGCTGAAGAGTTGAGGGACAGTGCCCAGGCCCAGAGTTCAGGCCCCATGACTGGACCCCCCCCAAAAAAAAACAATGTACAGTCCAGTGATTTTGGGTAAATTCAGAAAGCTGTATAACTGTCACCTTAATCTCATCTTTTCCTGTTGTTTCTGAGGTAGAAACCATTTTATCTTTTTTTTTTGAGGGGGGGTCCGGTTGTGGGGCCTAAACTCGGCCTGGGCGCTGTCCCTCAGCTCTTCAGCTCAAGGCTAGCACTCTACCACTTAGGCCACAGCACCACTTCTGGCTTTTTTCTTTTTGCTTATGTGTTGCTGAGAAATGGAATCCAGGGTCTCATGCATGCAAAGCAAGCCTGCTACTACTGAGCCACCTTCCTAGCCCCACCATTTTATCTTTCTTGTATAAAGGTTGTAATGAAACTGAAATGATTAAGCAAGTACCAGGGATGCAATGGTGACTCACTGAGAGTGAGTGCAATAGACGTGGTTCAGTGGAGGAAGAGAGAGTGATGGGAGACTACTGAGAGTGGTCACTAGCCAGGCCTTAGTCAGGATGCTAGACTTCATATTCTTACATCCCTACTTACCTACGAAGTTAAGCTCTCTGACCTTCAGTTTACTCACCTGTAAGAAAATAATCCTCTACTTCTTGGAGAATGGAAGGAACATGCAAGGCACCCAGCACGATGACCGCAACCATAGGATTAATTTATATGAAATGGTAGAAAAGAGGAACTTTGGTACACCAATGCTGGTTAGGGGCAAGGGAGTAGAGGTACGAAATTGACAGCAAAAGGTCACAGGGAGCTTTTTGGGGTATTCGACGTCCAGTTACACACAGATGTGGTTTATCTTACTGTAAACTAAAGCTAGCCCTGTCAACTCTAGCACAGCTTTTGCATATGCGGTTGGATGGATGGTTCAATTATCCTACCTGTCCGCAGCAGGAATCAATTGCTGACCAAAAATGCTTGCTGTGTGCCTACTGTGTGCAGGGCGCCATCTGTGCTTGGCAGACAGTCTTGTGGGGGAGAGGTAGAGAACTTCTGCCCTGCGTTTTTCCTGTTTTCCACACAGGCACAGAAGCCGTTCTTGTATCTGAAGAGAATGCTGTGGATGTAAGGTACGGACAAGTGGGGTGCTAGGCATCTCTCAGGGAGCCAAGGTCACCCCTGGTAGGCAAGAGAAACAGACTGGCATCAAGCCACGTACCAGGTGGACGCCTCCCGGGGGAAGACGACCAGGATCTCAGCCTGGTCTGTTCCAACCACTGCACGTCCCAGGCGTCCGTGCTTGCCCTGCCCAAGGAGCGGGCACCCTCGGGGTCCTTTTCCTGAGGGCGAGCCCGACCAGCCGTGTCTACTATGCAAAGTGACTCCGCCCACTCGAGTCGGGGTGAGGGGGGGTAGGGCGAGCGACGGGAGCGGTGGTTGGCTGCTTCTGTCGGGGCCGCGTGTAGAAGGCGGGACTAAGCCTGCGGGGGGGCGGGGCTAGCGCCGGGTGTGGGGGGGCAGCCGCCCGGCGTCCTGCTCGGGAAATGGTCGCTGTGCGGGCTCCGCGGCGCCGGGGGCGGGGACAACCTCCTCCCGCGGAGCGCGGGGCCGCCCCCTTCCTCGCTCGCTAGCTCCCAGCTGAACCTCGCAGCGAAGAAGACAGAGTCGGCTCGAAGTTCCCGGGTTGGTTCTCGTCCACCTGGCAGCGACGGGAGGAGGAACATGGCGCTCGTAGGCAACCGAGTGGAACTAGAAGCGGACGAGGTACTGGCGGCGGGGCGGTGCGGGGCCCGGGAGGGATGCGGAGCCCCGCGGGGATGGCGAGGTCCCGCTTCCAGCCCCCTGCCGCTTCCCCCCCCCCCGCGGTCCCGGGGACCCACTCTCGGTGACCCTGAGGCCAGGGCAGGGGTGGCGGCGGGGCCACCTGGCCTTGGCAGGTCTGTTGCGGGCGAGGCGAGGGGGTCCGGTTGGCGGGCGGGCACCTGTGGGGGGTGGGGAGGGGAACACGGAGGGACCCCGCGTGGCGGCCCGCGGCGGGCCGATGCGGGCGGGCGCGCGCGCGCCGGGGACTCGCATCCGGACGCTGGAATTGGTGCCGTCCTTGTGGACCAGGCGATCTCGCCTTCTATGGAAGTTTGAGATCAGTTGTCAGAGGCGGGGGGGTGCGAGGACAGCCGGAGCCCCGGGGTACCGGGGCGGGCCGGCGAGTCGCTGGCCGGGCTGCTGTGGCCTATTGCCGGGTTGCTTCCCGCCTCCTTTCCCCCCGGGCCGGGACGCTTCCCCGACCCGCCGAGTCCGCAGTGTCGGTGCCGGAGGGAGGGGAGGAACTTGGAGACCCGACTGCGTGCGGCCTCTGACGGCGATCTGCACTTGGGAGTCACTGAGCACTTCCTCCCGTGCGTGGCGGCGGGCGCTGCGGACCTGTGGATGACTCTCGGCCGGGTCCTTTCAGCACTCGGCAGCCGGGGAGAGCGCGCCGTCCGGGCGGACGCGGGGAGTTGAGACGCAGGTTCCAGCGGGGCGCCCCCCCACCCCCAACACCCGCACGCAGCCACCGCTGCTGCCATTTTACCTGACTGGACTTTACAAGTCGCCAACACCCGCACGCAGCCACCGCTGCTGCCATTTTACCTGACTGTACTTTACAAGTCGCTGCCCGAGGGCTGGGAAGGTGGCTCAGTGGTAGAGTGCTTGCCTTGCATGCCTGAGGCCCTGGGTTCGATTCCTCAGCACCACATAAGAAAAAAGAAAAAAGCCGGAAGTGGCGCTGTGGCTCAAGTGGTAGAGTGCTAGCCTTGAACTGAAGAGCTGAGGGACAGCACCCAGGCCCAGAGTTCAGGCCCCACAACTGGACCAAAAAAAAAAAAAAAAAAAAACAAGTCGCTGCCCGAGGAGGCTTGGGTTTCTGATGATGCAATCCTTAGATGATCTGGAGGGAGCGGGTTAGGGTTCCTGACTAGCTGTCTCGTGGCGACCACTAGATTCCATATATATAAATGTGTGCCTTGAAATAAAAGCAACGAGGACGGGGTGCAGTCCCTCGACCCTGCGGAGGGGACGCGGGCCAGCCAGGCGGACGGAGCTTGTTTAGATGCATTGGTGGTTGAAAACTTCCAGCACGCGAAAGCAGAGGAATAATATTCATTGCCGTTTCCATCAGTATCAGCTTCTGTTAGGCTGTCTTTTTGGTGCGACCTTTCCCCCCGCCCCCCTCCATTCCTCTGTCATCGAGGTCATAACGCTTTCACAGGGCTTTGGCCAAACTTTAGCTTCTTCCCACAAAAGTTTTTATGGCTCATTTTTGTGTATTACATATACATCAGTGTATATGACATCTGTATTATTGAAAATATCTATATTCCAGGGATTCAAGACTCCATGCTGATCCCAGGTTTGCCCTCAACTGTTTCCGTGTGTGTAGTTTAACCGAATTAAAAATGAGGAAACAAGACTGGGCGTGGCTAGCAAATGTGGAGTGAAATGTTTACATCCTGGTATACTTGTAGAGAAAATCTCGCCATGTATACGGCTTTGCACTAGGTCACTGTTGCTGTGATTTACTGTGGCGTAGGGCTTAATTGAGAGGATATTAATAATGTTGACAATAGATGCAAACTGGTACTGTTCTGGCAAACAGACATGTGTACCCTATCTAAACCACTGCCTGCAAGATGAGACAAGTTAGCTGTAGAAGACTCTCAAGCTCTGTGCGGAAGTTAAATTTTAGAGTAGCAGACAGTCTGGCACAAAGATATTTGGCAAATAAATGTATGAATGACTGTAGAAAAGATGTTGCTTCATGACTTCTTAGCTTTTGCCATAACATCACCGGCTCTTGACCTCTGTCCTTCATTGTATGTCATATGATATATTATGTAAATTTTACAAGCATTTATCGAGCATTTTCTTTGTGCTCAAATTCAATAGGTGGTGGGTGGTGGGGAGTGTAGTTGTGGAGGTGGGAGGGTAGGGATGGTAGGGGAAAAACAAAGAGGAGGCAACAATGCTGGATAAGAAATGTACTCATTACCTTGCTCATGCAACTGTAACCCCTCTGTACAGTATTTTCACAATAAAAAACTTATTAAAAATTCAATATGTGCCTTATATGGGAAGAGAAGTCACAGAACTTCTGTGAAGTACAAGAGCTCTAGAAAACAGTTGAAGACAGGCTAAGCAAATAAGAATTATGGTGATGTAAATTGGAAATTCCTTTTTTTTTGGGGGGTAAGAGTCCTTAATTGTAAATTACCTAGAATGAATATGACCTTGTTCTTCAACTTTACCAGGTATGAAAAAAGAAATAGCTATTTCGGCTATGAAGATTTTCATATGCTTAAGGAGATTTTGGCTGTCTTTTGTGGTCATTATTTGATGGTTTGGGGAAGTAGAAAAGGGATAAAATGATATAGTTGGAAAAGAACTAGACTAAGAATTAAGTAAACTTCTCAGCTCTCTGCCTCATAGTCATTCACTCATTTATGTGAACAAAAACCTGATTCTGTTAGTACTAAGTCTTGGGGATATGTATAAGACAGGCAAGGTCTTTTTTTTTTCCTTTTTTTCCCCCCCTGCCAGTCCTGGGGCTTGAACTCAGGGACTGGGGACTGTCCCTGAGCCTCTTTTTTTTTTTTTTTTTTGGTTGGTCATGGGGCTTGAACTGAACTCTGGGCTTGGGCACTGTCGCTGTGCTCTTCAGCTCGAGTGGAGCGCTCTACCGCTTGAGCCACAGTACCACTTCTGGTTTTCAAGTGGTTTATTGGAGATAAGAGTCTCACGGACTTTAATGCCCAGGCTGGCTTTGAACTGTGATCGTCAGATCTCAGCCTCCTGAGTAGCTACGATTACAGGCTTGAGCCACCGGTGCCCAGCTTCCCTGAGCCTCTTTTGCTTAAGGCCACAGTGTTGCTTCTGACCTTTTCTGTTTATGTGGTGCTGAGGAATGGAACCCAGCACTTCATGTGTGCTAGGCAAACACTCTACCACTTAGCCACATTCCCAGCCCCAGACAAGGTCATTTTTATCAATAGTGATCTTGACTGAATGAATCTCAGCCTGAGGGCTCATTCATTTTCCTCATCTGAAGGAAAGGCGAGAGGGTTTTAAGTGTTCTACTTCTGAAAGTCTACGCTAAGTTGCTGGGGCTGGAGTGGAGGGAACGTGAAGCTCTTTATAGTAACAGCAGGTCAGACGTTTTCTTGGGAAACTGATTTTGTTTATGTTTTTCTCCTGTCCCTCTGGTGGTAGGAAGGTAAATATGGGAGCATAGAGATTAGGACTTGCATCCTCTCTGGGGCAAAATTGGTCCTCTGGGAGGGACTAAGACGTCTGAGATAATATATTGCCCTTGGCCCTCTAGAGCTCAATTGATAACATCTTGTCTTTTCAGTTTTTCCCCATTTGAGTTTTCCTGGATATTACAGGAGCAGCTCTGAAATCAGGTTCACAGAAAATGTATGGTATGCAAATTGATACAATAAATCTAAGGAGAATAGGTGGCTGTGATTGTAGGAGGGTTTACCAGGTGCTTGAAAGTAAAGTTATATCTCATTAAGTTACCTGCATATCCTCATGAGCTTTCATTGGCTGCCTTGTAGATGTTGCTTACAGTGGCTTTTTTCTTTCTTTTTTTCTTTTTTTTTTTTTTGGTGTGTGACTTTATTTATTTTTTAGGAGTAAGTGAAAATGGTTTATATAGTTTACATTTTAAAGTTATTCAACGCCTTATCTTTTTTTTTTTTTGGTCGGTCGTCGGGCTTGAACTCTGGGCCTGGGTGCTGTCCCTCAGCTCTTCAGCTCAAGGCGAGCGCTCTACCACTTGAGCCACAGCGCCACTTCCGGTTTTCTGGTGGTTTATTGGAGATAGGAGTCTCACAGTCCCCCCGCCCCGGCCGGCCTTGAAAAGCGATCCTCAGATCTCAGCCTCCTGAGTAGCTAGGATTACAGGCGTGAGCCACCAGCGCCCGGCTCAACGCTTTATCTTTCCAGCACTTAACAAAGATTATTTCACAGTGCTGGAAATAGGGCTGGGAAGGTGGCTCAGTGGTAGAGCGCTTGCCTTGCAAGCATGAGACCCTGAGTTCGATTCCTCAGCACCACATAAGCAGGAAAAAAAAAAGCCGGAAGTGGCAATGTGGCTCACAAGTGGTAGAGCGCTAGCCTTGAGCTGAAGAGGTGAGGGACAGCGCCCAGGCCAGAGTTCAAGCCCCACGACCGGACCCCAAAGTGCTGGAAATAGATAATATGGATGGTACTTGATTGAATAATAGTTAGTTAAACTAAAATTACTCTCTCATGTGAAAACAAAAAACGTTGAATAAAATGATCCTAATTTCTAATTCTTCTTTTCTTTTTCTTTTTTTGGTCAGTCAAGGGGTCTGAACTCTAGGCCTGGGTGCTGTCCTGTGGCTCTTCAGTGCCACTTCCGGCTTTTTCTGTTTATGTGGTGCTGAGGAATCGAACCCAGGGCCTCATGCATGCAAGGCACGTGCTCTATCACTGAGTCACCTTCCCAGCCCCTCTCATAGGCTTTTCTGCCCAGGCTAGCTTTGAACTTCAGCTGTCAGATCTCAGCCTTCTGATAGGATTATAGACATGAGCCAAAAGTGTCTGACTTGAACAATGTTTTGAACTAAAAAAATATTGCATTGCTAATATGTGTTATATTTTATTTATTTATTTATTTTTTGGTCCAGTTGTGGGGCCTGAACTCTGGGCCTGGGCACTGTCCCTCAGCTCTTCAGCTAAAGGCTAGCACTCTACCA